GAAATGAAGGAGGAGAAATAATAACTGACATCCCATGAAGTACAAAGGATTATAAGAGAATATAATGGAAAATATATAGCAACAAGTTAGACAACCTAGAAAAAATGAATAAATTCCTAGACACACATAACCTTCTGATCTGAGTCAGGAAGAAGTAGACGGGCACCTGGGTGACTCAAGTGGTTGGTTAAGCGTCTGACTTTGGCTCAGGTCATGATTTCAGAGTTCGTGGGTTCGAGCCCCACGTTGGGCTCTGTGCCAACAGCTCAGAGCCTGGAGCCTGTTTCGGATTCTGTGTCTCCCTCTCTCTCTCTGACCCTCCCTGGCTCAAGCTCTGTCCCTCTTGCTCTCAAAAATAAATAAACATTAACAACAACAACAAAAAGAAATTTTAAAAAAGGAAGTAGAAAATCTGAACAAACCAATTACCAACCAGTAATGAAATTGAATCAGTAATAACAAAAACACCTAACAAACAAAAGTCCAGGGTCAGATAGCTTCATAGGTGAATTCTACCAAACTTTTAAAGAACAAATACCTATTCTTCTGAAACTACTCCAAAAAAAAAGGGAGAGAGAGGAAAACTTCCAAATTCATTCTATGAGACCAGCATTACCCTGATACCAAAACCAGACAAAGACACCACACGAAAAACTATAGGCCAGTATCTCTGATGAACACAGATGCAAAAATAACCAACAAAATATTAGCAAACCAAATCCAACAAGACATTAAAAGGATCATTCACCATGATCAAGTAGGATTTATTCCAAGATGCAAGGTGGTTCATATTCATAACTCAATTAAGGTGATACATAACTTTAACAAGAGGAAGGATAGAACTGTATGATCCTCTCAAAAGATGCAGTTAAAGCATCTAGCAAAATACAACATCTTTCACCGTAAAAACTCTCAACAACATAGGCATAGTAGGAACATACCTTATAAAGTTCATAAGTGAACACTCCCCATTTTCCTTACTGGTGAAAAACTGACAGCTTTTCTTCTAGGATCAGGAACAAGATAAGCGTGTTCACTCTCACCACTTTTATTCAGCATAGTGTTGGGAAGTCCGAGCTGTAGCAACCAGACAAGAAAAATAAATAAATAAATAAGAGGCATCCAAATTCTAAGAAAAGAGTAAAACTGTCACTATTTGCAGATGACATGACACTGTATATAGAAAACCAGAAAGACTGCCAAAAAAACCCGATTAGAACTCATAAATGAATTCACTAATCTTCCAGGACACAAAATTAACATACAGATATTTGTTGTGTCCCTATATGCTAATAATGAAGAAGCAGAAAGATAAATTAAGGAATCAATCTTTTTCACAATTGCACTAAATATAGGAATAAACTTAACCAAGGAGGTGAAAGACCTTTACTCTGAAAACTGTAAGGCATTGATGAAAGAAACTGAGGACAACACAAACAAATGGAAAGATATACCATGCTTGTACATTGGAAGAGTATTATTAAAATGTCCATACCACCCAGAGCAATCTACAGATTTATTGCAACCCCTACCAAAACACCTATAGCATTTTCCACAGAACTAGAACACACAATCCTAAAATTTGTATGGGACCACAAAGGACCCTGAATAGCCAAAGCAATCTCAAGAGAGAACTAAGCTGGAGGTTTCACAATCCCAGATTCCAAAATATACTACAAAGCTATAATAACCAAAATAGTATGGCAATGGCACAAAAATAAACATACAGATCAATGGAACAGGATACACAGCCCAGAAATAAACCCATGCTTATATGGTCAATTAATTTATGACAAAGGAGCTGAGAATATAAAACAGGGAAAAGACAGTTGGGGAAACTGGACAGCCACATTCAAAATAACGAAATGACCATGTTTGTTTTTTTTTTTTTTTAATTTTTTTTAACATTTATTTATTTTTGAGACAGAGAGAGACAGAGCATGAACGGGGGAGGGTCAGAGAGAGGGAGACCCAGAATCTGAAACAGGCTCCAGGCTCTGAGCTGTCAGCACATAGCCTGACACGGGGCTCGAACTCACGGACCATGAGATCATGACCTGAGCCGAAGTCGGCCACCTAACCAACTGAGCCACCCAGGCGCCCCCGAAATGACCACGTTCTTAAACCACACATAAAAATAAGCTCCAAGTGAATTACAGACTTGTGAGATGTGAAACCATGATACTCCTAGAAGAAAACATAGGTAGTAAGCTCTTAGACATAAGCGTTAGCAATGTATTTATGGATATGTCTCCTCAGGCAAAGGAAACAAAAGCAAGAATAAACTACTGAGACTACAGCAAAATAAAAATCACGGCAAAGGAAGCTATCAACAAAACAAAAAGGCAACCTACTGAATGGGAGAAGATATTTGCAAATGATTGATACTAATAACAGGTTAACATCCAGAATATATAAAGAACTTATACAACTCAACAGCAAAAAACTAAATAATCTGATTTTAAAATGGACAGAAGACCTAATAGACATTTTTCCAAAGATGGTCAGCATCACTCATCATCAGGGAAATGGAAATCAAAACCACAATGAGATACCACCTTACATGTGTCAGAATAGCTAGAATCAAAGACAAAAAATAATATGCTGAAAGGAGGTGGAGAAAAGGGAACCTCAGGCATTCTCAGTGGGAATGTTAATTTGTGCAAACATTGTGCAGTACAGTGTAGAGGGTCCTCAAAAAAAATAAAAATAGAATTATCATATGATCCCATAATTCCACTACTATTTATTCAAAGAAAATGAAAACATTAATTTGAAAAGATGTATACACTATTTTTATTGCAGCATTATTTATAATAGCAATGTGATACACACACACACACACACACACTGGAATTTTTTTTTTAAGTTTACTTATTTTGAGAAAGAGAGACAGAGAGCTTGCATGTGCACCTAAGTGGGGGAAAGGCAGAGAGAGAGGGAGAGAATCCTAAGCAGCACAGAGCCCAATGTGGGGCTCGATCACAAACTGTGAGATCATGACCTGACCCGAAATCAAGAGTCAGGTGCTTAAGTGACTGAGCCACCCAGGTGCCACACACACTAGAATATTACTTGGACATAAAAAAAAGTGAAATCTTGCCATTCGTGACAACATGGATGGACCTTGAGATATTATTATATGCTAAGTGAAATAAGTCAAAGACAAACACTACATAATTCCACTTATATGTGGAATCTAAAAACAAAACAAAAAAATAAACAGTTTAAATACAGAGAACAAACTGGTGGTTGCTGAAAGGAGGTTGATGGGGGGTGTTGGTCAAAATAGATGGAGATTAAGAGGCACAAACTTCCAGATATAAAATAAATAAGGATATGAAACAGTAGTTGTGGGCAATGGTGACTGTTGTATACATTGATAGAATTGTCAAATCAGTTTCTTCTGTACCTGAAACTAATATAACACTGTATGTCAATTATGCTCCAATGATAAATTAAAAAAAAAAGAATAAAAGACAGGTTCTTACAAAATAGAGTTTGCCTTAGCAGTTCCCTCTCACAGGTATTTCCCAAGACAAACGAAAACATATGTCCCCACCAAGACTCTACATGAGTGTTCACAGCATCTTCATTCATAACGATCCCAAACTGGAAACAACCGAACGTCCATCAACTGGTGAATGGATAAACAAACTGTAGTAAAGCCATACAATGGAACACTAGTTATTAAAAGAGGAATGAGCTACTGATAAGAGCGACAAGATGAATCGCAAAAGCATTATGCTAAATGAAAGAAGCTAAACCAAGGAAGGCTACATATAGAATCATTCCATTTACATGACACTCTAGCAAAGGCAGAACTGTAGTGATTGAAAGATCAGTGGTTTCCAGGGGCTCAAGGTGAAATGAGTGGATTGACTCCAGATGCATAATCTGGGGATGATAGAAATACTATCTAGCTTGAATGTGAAATTGACATGAATGTATACATTTGTCGAAACTCAAACTGAATACTCAAAATGGGTAGATGTAAATTATAGCTCAAGAAATCTGATTTTTTTTTCTTAAATATATAGTAGATCCTCTGAATGATGTGGGGTTTTTTTTTAAATACTTGAGGGTACAAGCCCCTAGTCTATTAGGCTTATATATAGATATTTTTTTTAATGTTTATTTATTTTGAGAAAGAGCATGTGCACAAGTGTGTGAGGGGGCAGAGAGAGAGTCCCAAGCAGGCTCTGCACTCTCAGCACAGAGCCCCACATTGGGCTCGCTCTCATGAACCTCAAGATCATGACCTGAGCTGAAATCAAGAGTCGGACGCTTAACCAACTGAGCCACCCAGGCTTTTAAAGGTATAGTGTGATGGGGCGCCTGGGTGGCTCAGTCGGTTGAGCGTCTGACTCTTGATTTCAGCTCAGATCATGATGCCAGGGTACTGGGATCAAGCTTCGTGCTGAGCATGGAACCTATTTGGAATTCTCTCTCTCTCTCTCTCTCTCTGTCCCTCTACCCCACTTGCACACATGCTCTCTCTAAAATACAAAATAATAAAGACCCAGAATGACCAGTGTGATGAGGGCTCGTAGCAAAGGATGCTTCTGGGAACACACAGTAATTCAGACGTGAAGGATATGGGAGGCCCAGCAGTTACCTCCACTCCTCTACTCCTCCCCCTGTGGAAGATGAAAGACAGATTTTTGCTCTTCTAGCTCCTTGAGCTAAGGGTGCCCCGTGACCTAGTTTCATTTCAAGGATGCCTGAGGTGACTAACGCTGGGACTTCTGGTTGGGCTTTTGCTTTTCAGATAAAAGGAAAACTTGTTACACTGCCCTTATTCCTTTTAGATTATTTATTAATTTTTTTTAACATTTATTCATTTTTGAGAGACAGAGACAGAGCATGAGTGGGGGAGGGGCAGAGAGAGAGGGCAACACAGAATCTGAAGCAGGCTCCAGACTCCGAGCTGTCAGCACAGAGCCCGACGTGGGGCTCGAACTCACTGACCAACTCCCTGACCCCAAGATCATGACCGGACTCGAAGCTGGACGCTTAACAGACTGAGCCACCCAAGTGCCCCTTTCCTTTTTTAAATGGAAAAAGAGCTCTGACATGAACACCCGAAGAATGCTTCAAGAAGAAAATCCAAAGTTTTTTTTTTTTTGCACCTAAATGTATTTATTTATGTGTGACTGTGAGATTACTGCAGTTTCTTTGAATACAAGGAATAATTTCTACATTTTCATGACCATTGTTTTGAGTCTGATGTCTTATTTCTCTTTAGGCTTCCTTATTTGCTTGAGGTAGACAGATTCTGTGCCAAGAACACACAAGTCATTCCAGTCAGAGTAAACGATCTCTTGACAGTAACTGATGGAGTCGGGGTGTGAAGGGCTACCGCTCAGGAAAGCGGAGAACTTTATACTCCGTTAGTGAGATCAGGTGATAGTCTAGGAAAATTTGGTTTTTCATAAAAACTTCCATCTAAAGTATCTTCTGGGATTCCCAATTTCTCCTCTGATATAGCTGCATAGTTGTATCCTCGTTTCCGTGCTTGCTCGAATGGGAAACCTAGAGAGAAATGACAAATGTTTAGAAAGGTGTCACATGTAAGGTGTAGACTCATCCAATATGCTACTCACTATACGCCACGTAAGGTCCTTTTCCCATCCCTTCCTACCCTGCTTCAAGCAGGCACTTTTCTATCCTACTACTTAACTGAAACCATACGTGTCTCAAGTTTCTCAGTTCATCCTACTTTTCACTACCATAATGGTCCATGGTCTACAAAAGGTTCTGCAGGACCTGGATTTGAGGTCTGATCCACTACTAAGTAGCTGTGTAATTTGGGGCAAGTTACTTAGCCTCTCAATGTCCTCATCTGTAAAACGGGGATAATAATAGCACATACGTACCTCATAATCATGAGAATTAAGTGCGATGGTGCATGTAAAAAAACTAGCGTTTAGTTAGTTTGACATTTAGCTAGTGCTCCATGATTATTAGCTCACGGTTCCAGAGAAAAGGTTCCAAACCTTCTCGTGATTTGATTTCCTCGTGCTTCTTGGAGTAATGACACACATTCTCTCCTCTTCTCCCATGCCACCAACCACCACGCGTCATCTTCCACTGACTTCGCTCATAGTGCAAATCTCCACCACTCGATTCTATGCCCCTTCCAATGACCATGCTATCACTTTCCTTCTCTTCACAGTAATCTCTTTTAACTCAGCATTTATATTCTCTGCTTCGGTTTTTATACTTGTCATTCCTTCATATTCTTTCCTCTGCCATTGAGGACCTACTTGCTACCTATTGGGGATTTAGTATCAAAGAGACAAATCCCTGCAGTCAAGTCAGGGTAGTTACCTACAGCTGTTCTCTAGAAGGCCATCAACTCCATGAAAGCCCTCGCGCGGAAACCACCGCAGAGCATTTCTGAGGAACAGGTGAGAGGCTGGTGATGCAGGTTTGGGAGTGAGGGGGGGCCAGCAGGGCGTAAGAGTGGAAGGGAGGCCAGAGGCGGAGCCAGAAGGCCATGATGACGTCAGGGTTTTATTTCAAAAGCAGTGGAAAATTAGGAGAAGCTGCAGAAGGTCCTCGTCGTTAAAGAGCATGGTTTCTGAAGCTAGCCTGCCTCAGTTCAAATCCCAGCCATCCCAGGAACTGACTGGGTGACCCTGAGCAAGTAACTTGGTATCTCTTTGCTCATCTGTAACAGGAACCTCGTCTCACTGAGTTGTTCTGAAAATTAAACGAGTTCATCTTATAAAGCGCTTTCAAACAGCACTTCACGCGGTAATTGAAAGAGAAGATTTTGTTAAACAAATGCTTTAACTGTACTGATTTAAATCTGTAAAAGATCATTACCTATTATGAGGGGAGCACCCTGGCTGCTTACCAGTTTGGAGGCTGTTGGGAGAAGCCTGAAGGGGATGAAGGATGCTTGGACCGTGGGGGCGGCTCTGGCTCGGAAATAAGTGGGTAGGTTAAGGCGAATGACAGCTGACGCTTAGGGAGTATGTGTTACATGCGAGGCGCCATTCTAAGCTCTTCACATGTATTATCTCTTATTACCTCACAACGACCTAAGAGCTGCCACTGTTATTCTCATTTTAGAGAAGGGGAAACCGAGCTGGTAACTTCCCCAGGATCATGCAGCCAGTACACTGTAGGGCCAGAAATCAAAGCCTGGCAGCCTGAATCAACACCCCACCAGTGTAACCTCTCCGCTGTACTGCCTCTCACTGGCGATCGCAGGACAGAACCCGGACCCCCAGAATGTACAACAACCGCAATTAGGCATTAGCTACGTTAGGACTAGTGATATTTCTAGGACATGAGACTAGGCCTCCTCAACACGCTATCCGCGGCAGCACAATGGCGGCATAGAGCCTCAAGAACACTCCTAACATTTTGAGACATTTATTTCGCCAAATGAAGCTTGCTCATTAAAAATAATTATGGAAACCATGAGAGAAGCAACTTTTTAAGGGGAGCATTCATTTCTTTAAACCATTTTTCCAACCTAAATAAAACAAAATTTTCTTCTATTCCCAAATAACAATCTTACACATAAAGGTACAAATGACTTGGCAAATTCATTGGTGTCTCTGCACAGTGTAGGGTGCTGAAATGCTAGGTGCTTCGAAGCATGTCCGTGTGTGGAATGTATCGTTTTCTTCATAAGAATTTCCCATAAAGTATTACTAAAAATCACCTACTTTTTTAAAAATTTACATTCAAGTTAGTTAACATCCAGTGTAGTCTTGGCTTCAGGAGCAGAAACTGGTGATTCACCTCTTACATATGACACCCGGTGCTCATCCCGAAAAGTGCCCTCCTCGACGTCCATCACCCATCTGGCCCATCCCCCAGCCACCTCCCCTCCAGCAACCCTCAAAATCACCTACTTTTGAAGTTAGCTGAAGAGTTGCTTGTAGCAATTTCCTTCCAGTTGGCAATATACCTAAGCACATTATATGGGCATTCATTAAACTGAATCAATGTATTAATAATCAACTGATCCATTAGTACGTGTTAGACTACTTCTAAAATTCCACTTTCTCTATGAAATCTTGAACTGATGCCGACTAATTCACAGGTGCAAATGTCTAATTCTCATGACTTTTCCATGTCCAACTAACTCTCATGTATCTAAAGTAACCCCTAGAACAAGGAATTGGAGGAGGAATAAAAATGGTGCCTACCATCTACCATATTCGTGCCCTCTGAGCTCGTCCAGCACACATCATCTCATTTTATCCTGTTTCCTTCTTGCAAGACCATGTCCTCAGTTGAGGGCATACTAAGATCTTAACTTCTAAATTAAAAGTACAAACAGAAAATTCTCTGGGAGGGAAAAAGTCAGGGGAAAACAACAACAACAAACTAACAAACTTTCTCCTTGGCTCTGGATTGCCAGACTTAACGGTTTTCAGCATGTCAACGGAAATGAAAAGTGTGTGCTTTATGATCTTACTGGGACAATAATGCTACCTTTGTCGTGCCCAGTAAATATGAGCAATGACACTTAAATCAAGCACAACTTCAGGGCTGCCACATCTGTTCCCTAAACAGGTAGACAAGGCAGCCCAGGAAGAGGTAGAACGGATAAGGCTATCTGATGAGCTACAAAGAGGAGGTAAAGATGCCTTTCAAGAGGCAGGTTTCCTGAGACTTACCCTATTTCATCTTAGGCTCTGCACCCCCCTTTCCCAAGCCTCCTTGAAATCACGTAAGGAGGTGGTTGCACCCAACAAATCAAGTAAGGAGTTGGTACCAAAAGGTGCTGAAAAGGGACCTCGTAGAGCAAAAATGAGAATTCTGAATCATATAATTCAGAAAACTCTGTGATTTTTCAAGTATTTATATATTCCATGTGAATTTTTAGTTTTGCTGTTTCTGAAGTTTTGTTGTTGTTGGTATAGGAAGGTATATATTATCCAAGAGTATTTAATTAAAACAAAGTATCGTGTCTAACTTGTCTCCTTCCTGTTACTGGTACCTTTGCTCCAAGAACTTTATAGCCTTAAATGGGTGCTCCTGGGTTACTGTCACATGAAAAAGGTGCAACAAAACAGAAGGCAGTGGAAACTCCCTCCAGGATGTCTTGGTAGACAATTCAATCTGGCTTGACCTTAAATTCAGGCAAATTCAGGGTGCTTGGGGGGCTCAGTCAGCTGAGCGTGCGTTTCTTGGTTTTGGCTCAGGTCATGATCTCAAGCCCTGTGTCTGGCTTTGTGCTGGTTGGTGGTGCAGAGCCCGCTTGGGATTCATTCATTCATTCTCTCCCCCCGCCCCCCCCGGCTCTTGCTGTCTCTGTTTCTTTCAAAATAAATAAATAAACTTAAAAAAAACTTTAGGCCAATTCCATCCTCAGTGGTTGCTTGGATAGGAGTGCTATCAGGTGTTGGTCAATCATCCTCCTTCCTTGGGTTCATATACTGAAAGTTCTCATTCCACTTTCAAGGAACCAAGATAAAGGACCTTCAATCAATTTATTCTATGACCTAACACTCTGGGGCACAAACATATCTCATCTTTAAGCTGATCGATAACCCTGTTCTACCTGCGATTAGGACATGAATTTATTTAATTGATAAAAATTGATAAAAATATTTTTCTCATCATGAACATACCAGATGTAACTGATAAGAAATCTAAGTTTTACAAACAGAAGCAACAATCTAATGAGAGCATTACTATGCTGCGTATATCACAGAGCTCATCTGTCTTTCCCATGAAGATATTTTTGGAACTTTTTTTTACAGAACAAAGTGTATATGGAATCTATGCTGAATCCCTCAGAAGTCTACACTTAACATCTTAATGGCCCAGGAAAAGTCCCTGGCTAGAAAGGCCACATAACTACACGTCTTAGATATCAAAGGGGCAGCTCCAGACATGGAGACTACCCATAACACACATGGGCAAAGAGCTCTCACCAACAGGATTCACAGAATATCAGGAGACAAAGCTAGTCCAGCAGCTGACCACGTAACAGGTTATGTCAAAATTCACTTGCAGTTTTGAAAAATAGGAAGACCCTGGAAGAGGAACATCCATCTTGATAGAGAAGATGACCCTGAAGTCCAGCGGGATAAACGCTGGCAACAGTCACTGTGGCCATCCCGTGGGTGAGTTGGTGACGCTAAAACAAGGACTGTTTTACATTCTAAGTGCCTGCAGCAACATATCTGTGGATACCACAGAAGGACAACAGTACTCATCAGTGTACCTGAGTCCAGGAGTTAAGTTGACTCTGCCTATTCTTTAAAGTACATAATAACAATATTGTACTCAGTTGGTACTGTTATAATGTGCATCATAAGACGCACATGACGGTTCCCAGTGGAGGGTCCAGCTGTCATACCAGGGACTGGCACACAAGCCTTTTGGGAAGGGACTGGCTTGTACCATTCAACATCAATGTTCAACACATTTATGTCATTCTAATGCTCTATTGAAAACTGTCCACAGATTTCAGTGGCTACAAATTTTCCTGAAGGGAAATGTCAGACTCTGAAATTCTCAACAAACAAGGTGTCATTAAGACAGCTACGAACATCTAAATGACTACAAAGATCTAACAAAGAGAAGACTGTGAAGACCATGAATATGCTGTGGAAAAGGTACTTACACCTGACATCTGCCATTAGTAGTGGAAGGTCTTTGCAAGTTTGGTCTTGCCTGAGATAATCAGTAGCTTGAGCTCAGTAATGTTAATGAAATATTCCCAAATTATCATGCTGGATTCCTGGGAAACTTTTGTTGTCCAGGGCTCAATACAAAAAGTTAGAATACTGTAGCACAGCACTAGAGAAAGCCATCAAACTATACAAAAGAAAGCAAGAGAACAAGAAAAGAACAGAAAAGAACTACAAAAATGAGCAGAAAAAAATTAACAAAATGGCAATAAGTGTTTACCTATGAACAAGTACTTTAAATGAAAACTGACTAAACATTCCAATCAAAAGACAAAGGGCGAGGAAATGGATTAAAACACAAGACCTATATGCTGCCTATAAGAAATCACTTCAAACTAAAGACACATATAGACTGAAAGTGAAGGCATGGAATAATGCAAATGGAAGCAGAAAAAAAGCCAGGGTAGCAATATTTATATCAGACAAGATAGACTTTAAAACAAAGAAACAAGGGACAAAGAATGGCATTACACAATGATGAAGGGATCAATCCAACAAGATGATATAACCATTGTAAATATCTCTGCACCCAACACAGAGGCACCTCGCAAATGTTAACAGATATGAAGGGAGAAACAGACAATTATATAATAATACTAGGGGATTTTAACACCACATCTATGTCAGTGGACAGACTGCCCACACGGAAAATCAATAAGAAAACAGTGGCTCTGAACGACATATTAGACCAGATGAAGCTAACAGATGTCTAGAGAAAATTCCATCCAAATGCAGAATATGTATTCTTTTCAAGTACATGCACAAAGGACATTCTCCAAGACAGATCAAATGTTAGACCACAAAGCCAGGCCAGAAAACAAGTGTTAATAAATTTACAAAGACTGAAATCACATCAAGCATCTTTTCTGACCACAACAGTATGAAACTAGAAATCAGTTAAAAAAAAACTGAAAAAAAATCACAAACACATGGAAGCTAAACAACATACTACTAAATAGCCAATGGGTCAACCAAGAAATCAGGGAGGAAATAAGAAATACACGGAAACAAATGAAAATGAAAGCACAACAGTCCAAAATCAGTGGGATGCAGCAAAGGCTGTTCTAAGAGGCAAGTTTATAGTAATGCAGGCCTAACTCAAGAGACAAGAAAAACCTCAAACAAACAAGCTAGCTTACACTTAAGGAACCAAAAAAAAAAAAAAAAAAAAAAAAGAACAAACTAAGCCCAAAGCTAGTAAGAGGAAAAAATAATAAAGATTAGAGAGGAAATAAATAACATAGACACTAAAAGAAAAATAGAAAGGATCAATGGAACCAAGAGGTAGTTCTCTGAAAAGATCAACAAAACTGATAAACCTTTAGACTCATCAAGAAAAAAAGAGAATAAAATCAGAAATGAAGGAGAAATTACAGCAGATGCCCAAAATACAAAAGATTATAAGGGAATGTCATGTAAAATTATATGCCAACAAGTTGGACAATCTGGAAGAAATGGATACATTCCTAGAAACATACAATGTTCTAAAAGTGAATGAGGAAGAAATAGTAAAATTTGAACACGTCAATTACTAGTAATGAAAATTAATCAGTAATCAAAAACCTCTCAACAAACAAAAGTCCATGACTATACGGCTTCATATGTGAATTCTCCCAAACATTTAAAATTTTTTTAATGCTTATTTATTTTTGGAGAGAGAGAGAGACAGAGTCAGAGCAGGGGAGGGGCAGAGACAGAGGGAGACACAGAATTTGAAGCAGGCTTCAGGCTCTGAGCTGTCAGCACAGAGCCAGACACAGGGCTTGAACCCACAAACCTGAGATCATGACCTGAGCTGAAGTCAGACGCTTGACCGACTGAGCCACCCAGGTGCCCCTACCAAACATTTAAAGAAAAGTTAATACCTATTCTTCTCAAATGTTCCAAAAAATAGAAGAGAAAGGAAAACTTCCAAATTCATTCTGTGAGGCCAGTATCACCCTGATACCAGAACCAGTCAGACATGACAGAAACACAAAACCAAACGAAACTGTGGGCTAATTGACCTGATAACATAGATGCAAAAATCCTCAACAAAATATTAACAAAGTGAATTCAATAATACACTGAAAGATTAATTCACCACAAGCAAGTGGGATTTAGTCTAGGGATGCAAAAGGGGCTCAGGAGCTGCAAATCAATATGATACATCATGTTAACAAGAAGAAGAAAAAACATATGATCCTCTCAATAGACGGGAAAAAAAACATCTGACAAAATACAACATCATTCATGATTTAAAAAAACCAAAACAACTCTCAAACAAGTGGGTTTAGAGGGAATATACCTCAATATAATAAAGGCTACATAGGAAAAACCCGTAGCTCACAACGGTGAAAAACTGAGAGCCTTTCTTCCAAAATCAGGAACAAGGCAAGAACGTCTACTCACCACTTGTATTGAACATAGTACTGGAAGTCCTAGCCACAACAACAAAACAAGAAATAAAAGGCATCTAAATTGGTAAGGAAGAAGTAAAACTGTCACTATTTGCAGTTGACATGATACTATATATAGAAAACCTGAAGGACGCCACCAAAAAGCTATTAGAACTCATAAATGAGTTTAGCAAAGTTGCAGAATGCAAAATTAATATAATACAGAAATCTGTTGCATTTCTAAGCACTAATAATGAAGTAGCAGAAAGAAAAATTAAGAAAACAATTCCATGTACAACTGCACCAAAAAGAATAAAATACCTAGGAAAAAACTTAACCAAGGTGGTGAAAGACCCATACTCTGAAAACAGTAAGACACAGATGAAAGCAAATGAACACAACACAAAGAGAAAGATATACTGTGCTAGCACTTTAGAAGATTAATGTTGCTAAAATGTTCATACTACCCAAAGCAATATACAGATTTAATTGCAATCCCTATCAAAATACCAAGAGCATTACTCACAGAACAAACCATATAATCCTACAAGTCATATGGAAACACAAAAGACCCCAAATAGCCAAAGCAATCTTGAAAAAGAACAAAGCTGGAGGTATCACAATCCGAGATCTCAAAATACACTACACAAAGCTATAGTAATTAAAACAGTTTGGTACTGGCACAAAAACAGACATGTAAATCAGTGGAATAGGATACAGAGCCAGAAATAAATCCATGCTTATATGATCAAGTAGTCTATGACAAAGGAGGCAAGAATATACAATATTCTCTTCAATAAATAGCGCTGGTTAAACTGGACAGCTACATGCAAAAGAACGAAGCTGGACTACTTTCTCAAACCACACAGAAAAATAAACTCAAAATGATTACAGACCTAAATGTGAGACCTAAAACCATAAATCTCCTAGGAAAAAAAAAATGTAGGCAGTTATTTCTCAATATTGGCCTTACAAACATTTTTCTAGCTATGTCTCCTCAGGCAAAGAACACAAAACCAAAAATAAACTACTGGGATTACACCAAAATAAAAAGTTTTTACAAAGCAAAGTAAACTGTAAACAAAATGAAAAGACAACCTACTGAATGGGAGATATTTACAGATGAAATATTCAATAGGGGGTTAATATCCAAAACATATAAAGAGCTTAACAACTCAACAAACACACAAAAAACAAAGAATTCAAAATGGGCAGAAGACACACGAATAAACATTTTTTTTTCAAAGAAGACATACAGATGGCCAACAAATTTATGAAGATGCTCAACATCACTAATCATCAGGCAAAGGCAAATTAAACCCACAATGAGATATCACCCTCTACTTGTCAAAGTGCCTAGAATCAAAAAGACAAGAAACAGTAACCATTGGTGAGGATGTGGAGAAAAGGAAACCCTCATGCACTGTTGATGGGAATGTAAATTGGTGCACTACAGTGGAAAATATTACAGATGTTCCTAAAAATTAAAAATAGAAATACCATTTGATCCAGTAATTTCACTACTGGGTATTTACCAAAAGAAAAAAAAATAGGGATTTGTAAAGATATATATGTTTACTGCAACATTATTTACAGTAGCCACAAAATGGAAGCAACCCAAGTGTCCACTGATGGATGAATGGATATTTAGTGGAATATTACTCAGCCATAAAGAAAGAATGAGATCTTGACATATGTGAAAATATGGAGGAACCTAGAAGATATAGTGCTAGGTGAAATAAGTTACATGGAGAAAGACAAGTACCATAAGATTTCACTTTGTGTGGTATCTAAGAAAAAAAATAAATGAATAAACAAAAAATAGAACTAGTGGTTGTCAAAGGGGAGGTGGGTGGAGGGATGGGTGAAATAGATAAAGGGGATCATGAGGTACACACTTCGAGTTACAAAATAAGTAAGTCACAGATGTGAAAAGTACAGCATCGGGAATACAGTTAATAATGTTGTAATAAAGTTGTGACAGATGGGGAGTGCACTTCATGTGGCGAGCACCGAGCTATCTATAGAATTGCTGAATCACTATGTTATAGACCTAAAACTCATATAACATTGTAAGTTGACTACACTTCAACTAAAAAAAAGAACACCTAGGGGTGAGTGGGTGGCTCAGTTGGTTAAGCTTCCGACTCTGGCTCACGTCACGATCTCGTGGTTTGCAAGCTCGAGCCCGGCATCAGGCTGTCTGTAGTTAGAGCAGAGCCTGCTTTGGATCCTGTGTCCCTCTCTCCCTCTGCACCTCCCCCTCTCACACTCTCTTTCTCTCTCAAAAATAAACATAAAAAAAAAAAAAAAAAAGAACACCTAAGTCTAATTTTCTTTTTCTACTTTTACATCATCTTTTTAAATATTCTTCCTTGATTTCTTCTTTTTTCTAGACAATACTTTTTTTTTTTAATAAATGCTTTTCCATCCCTTCACTTTTTTTTTTTTTTTTCAATGTTTATTTATTTTTGGGACAGAGAGAGACAGAGCATGAACGGGGGAGGGGCAGAGAGAGAGGGAGACACAGAATCGGAAACAGGCTCCAGGCTCTGAGCCATCAGCCCGGAGCCCGACGCGGGGCTCGAACTCCCGGACCACGAGATCGTGACCTGGCTGAAGTCGGCCGCTTAACCAGCTGCGCCACCCAGGCGCCCGACAATACTCTTTTTTTAAGTAAATATTACATTTGTGGGTCCAAGATTCAACACGGGAGTGGGAAACAGAAAAATATATGAGGCCTGCCCTGCTCCCCAACAAAAGCAGCATGTATTTACTCATCAAAGTTCAGCGTGTTTGTCCAGTTGAGCACTTCATCCACCTCCCATTCCATCACCGAATCTATTCCACCGATTTCGACAGCTCTCATTAGCCCCTTCGTTGCTGTGTGGATTAAACCTAGAGTTTTAGCATTTGTTGACCTGGCCTCTAGGCTTCCTGTATAGTACCTAAACAGGGGAAGGGAAGGGAGATATAAACCTTGTCAGACAGGTGATTACTAGTAGACGCAGCTAACAGATGTGTTGTTATTGCAAAACTATTTACATATTTAAACCAAGTTCTCACCCTATTTAACTCAAATACATTCAGACCAGGTTCTGTGTGATAGGATGTTTGGGAAAAAATGAAACAAAACAACTTAGCCAACCGCACTAAACGGTGAGGCCTCATTTCAAAACCCACCCCTCAGTACATTGGGCTGTTATGATATAACGAAAAAGCAAGTTATTAAATCACTGGATCATAGGATTATAGAGTCAAAGGATCTTGGGAACCAAATAACTAGTCCTCTTGTCTTATAGGAGAGAAATTAAGTCCTGGAAGAGTTGACTGACTTTGATGAGGTCACATGGCTAATGGTGGGTAAGAAGAGGAAAGGGGAGGGGAGGAGGAAAGAGAAAGGGAGGGAGAGGCAAAGGGAAGACAAGATGGTAACATCTTTTTTTGTGTCAGGTACTTTTCATACATCATCGTGTTTAATTCACTTTAAAAAGACAAAGCCGTTTGTGACAGCTATTTTTATTTCCATTTTATGGATGAGGAAGTCAAAAGCTGGAGAAGTTAAATTCTTCAAGATCATGTGCATAGTAAATAGATGCCAGAGCCAGTGTTTGAATTCGACTCCAAGTCCAGACTTCTTGGGCAGCACTGTTCTGTCTTATGGTAGCCTGAGCACATGAATGAATGCATCCAGAAAACGTGAACTGAGTGCGTAGAGACAAGTTAGCATTCCTCACAAAAAATATTAGAAAGGTGCATTTTTCTTTTGGTTTTTCATTTTAAGATCTACATTTGTATTCCATTTTTAAAGTGAACTTACTCTGAAATTGTTTTCACTTATTAAGTCAACATGGATTAGGAAGTGGCATGGTGGGAGTGCAGAGCTAGGTAGGACTCCGATATCCAACTATCTGGCTTTGAGTCTTGCTTCTGTGATTTACTAGCTCTATGACTTTTGCCAAATAACCTAGTCTTTCTGGGCCTCAGATTACCTTAAAATGGTAATCACAACACCCCTCTTCTTAGCATTGTTGAGAGGTTAAGTCCCTATAAAGCATTCAGAATGATGACTAGCACATAGTAAGCATTCAACAAAAGAAGACTTACCAACTCCTGGATGGCAAGGGGTAGGGCAGTGACAAGATATGTCTCTGCCCTCATGAACTTTCTGCTTTCTCAAACTTTAAATAGATAATGATCCATGGGAGCTAATTTGATAAAAGCAGGAACATGCCTCTTGATTTATATTGATTAGTAAGAGCACAAATTCTAAGAAAGTATGAATTCACAACTTTTCTGCCACCGCCATTTGCAAAGCACTGTGTACAGAGGTGGGATTCCTTTCTCGAGCCTGCATTCTTCTACCCAAATTCCCTGAACATAATAGGCACTCAAAAAAAGTAGGTACCGAATGAATGAATGAATGAATGAATGATGGTACCCAATGGATGGCCTAGGTTTATGAACTAGTGTTCATGCCACAACAAAAATGAATTTAGAAAGCAGAAACTTCTGGAAGGCTAAGAGTGAGCACATTTTTTATGACTTCCTCCACAATTTACCTTTGCAAATATACACGACATTAGATTTAGAAACCTGGACGATATTTGTTTTTCCTTTGACAACAGTGATTTATGACAGTTCAGTTACCTATTTTTGCTCTCATCAAGGATATATAGAAAGGTGATTTGTTTTAAAGAGAATTATAATACTTATTCCAATAATTTAATTCTGTTTTAAACTCTTCAAATATTAGTCACTATTTATACTTAAGTGGGCTATAATAGTAATCAAACAAAAGACTAGCAAGTAGAATACAAACAATAGTGACCAGAATGAACACTACCTTATAACAATCATACCTTGTCTTATAATAAATGAGTGATATTTAAAACAACAATATAAACTTTGGCTGTACAGGTAATGTTGCAATATATCCAGTTTTAAATGATCTACTCTTTCTATGATAGAAAACTGAAAGAGAGAAAACATTACAAAAATATTTTTTCTGAATATACCAACAGGGAAAGAAGTTAAAATGCAAAATACCTAGTAAGAACTGAAGTGGTTTTTTTAAATATTTACTTATTTTGAGAGAGAGTGGGAGGGAGAAGGAAAAAGTACGCAAGCACCAGCGGAGAGGGACAGAGACAGAGAGAGAGGGAGAGAGAGAATTCCAAGCAGGCTCTGTGCTGTCAGCACAGAGCCCAAAACAGGGCTTAATCCCTTGAACATTTCTTCTCCATCCCCTGCAACCTTACAAAAAGGAAACACTACAACATCCAGTTATAAGGATTCACTCACTCACTCACTCACTCACTGACTCATTCAAGAAGCAACACATATTCATTAAGCATCTACTAGGTCTAATGAAGCTGTCCTTTTGGAGATCCTAATGGAGGCGGCAGACAAACATACAGATATTTGCAGAAGTGTGACAAATGAGTATGTAAGACATCTATGAGGGCATGCCAAAAAAAGTGCCCGTGCCTAACTAAGTCAGGGAAGGCATCTCCTAGCTAAGGAGGTATGTGAGCCAAGTAACAAAGATGAAGATCTTGTTGCCATGTAACTGAGCCAGAGAAGAGCAACCTAGGGAGAGGGAGCATCACGTGGGGATAGCTAAGGGTGAGTCCCTGGCATGTCTCAGGTAAGGAGGTGATTTGTGCTTTGGAAACATCACTTCAGTATTTCTGCAGGGATGGGGAGAAGATTAGAGAGGAAGACACCAATCAGAAGGACTCTGCAGATGCAGGAGAGAGGAGAACAATGAGAAGATGCCACAGGAAGGGAGAAAAATGTCAGTTTTGGGAGATTCTTTGGAGGTAGAACAGGACTTTATGACAGATTACACATGGGGGCTGATGAAAGGTAAGAAGTCAAGCATAACCTCTACTTTTCTGGCTTGGATGACTGGGTAAACAAATGATGGTGTCATAAACCGAGGGCGAGAGGAATGCTGAAAAGAAACAACTTTTATGATGAGGAATGTAAGAAATTCAGCTTAAGACCTGTTGAATCTGAGCTGGGAATGTCCATGTAATTAGAAAAACAGAGCTCAAGGGCACCCGGGTGGCTCAGTCGGGTAAGCATCTGACTTCGGCCCAGGTCATAATCTTGCAATTCTCAAGTTTGAACCCCGTTGTCGGGCTCTGGGCTGATAGCTCAGAGCCTGGAGCCTGCTTTGGATTCTGTGTCTCCCTCTCGTTCTGCCCCTCCCCCGCTCATGTTCTGTCTCTCTCTCTCAAAAATAAACATTAAAAAAAATTAAAAAAAAAGAAAAGAAAAACAGAGCTCACTTATGGATGAGGACTGTTTTGAGAGTAAATAAGCAGAGGAAAGAAAAAAAGAAATAAGACAGATTAGCATCCATGTGCAACGACTTATTACCAGGTGTGTGTCTGCTGGTGCTTGGCCTGATCTTCAGCAAATCACACTGCCATTCTGTCAAAGCCAGCTGTTTCTAAGCGATGGCACATATGGTGAGTGTATTTTGTTGTTCTCAGCCTATTACCACACTTCTTTTGCTGCAAATGGGCCCCCTGGGTAGAGGCAACGTTGTATGGAATAAAATGATGATGGATAAGGCTTCTATAATACATGGTATTGCTGACAGAAGTAACGCAAGCTGAGAAAGAAAATACACATCCAGAATATTTATCACTGTGCATATAAAGGGATGCCACCTCTATATGGGAAGGGTCCAATATCATCAGCCTGCCGCCAGGCAGCCAGCACATCCCATTGCTGGAGGCAAGGCAACGGCCTTCGCTGTACAGTTAGCTGTGACTATAGAGCCAGAACAGACTCCGTGAGGAAAAGACCATGTTTATGAGTCTATCTGGAGCCTTGATCTTGATACCCATGACCACTTTGTACACGGCTCCAGTGAGCAACCAGGTGAAAAAAACGACATCCATGGGATGGATCATCTTGTCCATCTGAATACTTACGGCTTTCTGCTTCATAAACCCTTTGGAGGGCATTCACAAGGACACAAGTATACTCTATGCCCATTTTGAGTACACATGTCCCCACACCCAATCACCACTTTTCCAATTTAATTCCAAGTACCCAATTATGTGAGAAGTTATTAGCCACTGCCCACAGTCAATAAGATCCCTGTCTCAAGCTATTTCACCTTCCTACATGAAGTGTAAAACCAGTTGGGCTCACTAGGAGGATACCCTTGGCCATTTTCCGGGCCTATTGAGGGGTTGTAATCTAGTGACCATCCACATTTGGATGTTGCCAGAATCCTGCGCAGATCCATGGGGAATGAGACCTAATGTAGTCTCTCTCTGTTAGCTCGTCACAGGGGACTCCCTACGAAGCCAAAGGCATGGACATGAAGCAGAGCCAGTGAACATAAGCAGTGCTGAAGGAACCTGGGCACTGGCTCATACAGCTTACAGAGCTCTCTGGACCTTCTCAGACCCATTCTTTTCTATCCTGCATCCATTTCATTCTGAGATGATGCTGTTCACTCTCAGTTTTATGGTTCATTGGATTAGATAAAGCCCAGGTCAGTTCATAGTCACAGGGCACCTGGAATCCCACTGCCAAGCATCCAGTCTCTACCAGGGCCCAGTAGCAGAGCCAGAATTGATTTTCAAATGTAACACAGTTGTAGGCAGAAGAGGGCACTACCTTTCTCCTAAACCCTCTGTGCTGAGATCCTCTTATTAAAACTCTTGGGAGACTCCATACACAAGTTCACAGTCTCTCACAGACATTTCCAATACTGGCAGGACTGCTTGGCCATCAAGGGGAAGTGGTGGGGCAGCTTGACCACACCGTGGACCTGCTACCATGTTTGTAAGAACACCATGTCCCGCTAGAGCCTGGCAGCCTCCTTAGGTTACCTCTAATATGGGTTGGAGCAGCATGCCCCAATGGGGCATATTTTACCCCCTAAATCCAGGGAGCCCCTCTAAGTGCTGTGTGC